TATTGTTGTTAGTAGTCAGCCTAGTAGTATTCAGTTCCTTGCAAAGGTGCATCTGGCTTAATGAAATAACCCAGGATCCCAGCCCCCATAGCAGGGGCACGCGTAGTGGCTATAGCTATACGCCCTTGTGCTGACGACTTATTCTTTCTGAACCTCAGTTTCCTCATCTGCCAAATGAGGCTTTGTGGAGATAATATCTTTGCTCATTTATAAGCTCTCAGGGTGGTGTCAAGAATGCCAGTTAGTGGGCAGTGAACGTGAAAGTGTTTTAAGAACTGTAATGCATCCTACAGACAATTCGGTCTTCCTTGCCAGTTGGGTGAGAGCCATAGACATGGAACCTCTTGCCCGGTGTTGGTGGACAGCAAAGATTGGGATCAGTGAGGGAATAGCAGGTCAGAAATAAGGCAAGTGGTGTGACACGGAGCCAGAGAAGACTGGGGAGATAGAATACAAAGCCAAGTGCTTTAGGGAGCCAGCAGAGCCGGCGCACAGGGACGTTTGAAGGAGAGGAATTTCCTGAGTGGAGAGGAATTTCCTGAGCTAGAGCGCAGGGGCTACTGCCTTCTTTTTGTTTGCCACTTGCTGTTGCTGCTCTAGCAGCTCAGACTGAAGCTATTTTGGAAGCAGTTAATAGCAGTTAAAAGAAGAGTGGAACGAAGGTGAGGGATTATTCTTATAAGGTCTGGCAGGATTTAGGGACCAGGGAAAGGGTACAAGGCCAGTATCAGCTAGCCCAAGGTAAACCCAATTCAAAGGAGAGTGGTAAGTGGCCTAGGTGAGCAGCAAAGGCAGGCTGCATTTGGACACTGTGATGATTAACTCTATGTGTCAACTTGGCTAGGCCATGGTGCCCAGTTGTTTGGTCAAACACTAATCTGGATGTTGCTGTGAAAATCTTTTTTTATACGTGATTAACATTTAAATCAGTTGACTTTGAGTAAAGCAAATTGCCCTCCATGATGTGGGTGGGCCTCATCCAATCAGTTGAAGGCCTTAGGATGAAAGACCGAGATTTCCCAAAGAAGGAGGAATTTGGCTTCAAGACTGTAACATAGAAACCCTTCCTGAGTTTCCAGCCTGCCTGGCCTGCCCCCGCAGATTTTGAACTCAAGACCGCAGCATGAATTCTTACCTGAATTTCTTACCTGTCAGCCTGCACTACGAACTTCAGGCTTGTTAACCCCTACAGCTATGTGAAACAAGTCCTTCAAATACTGCCCTGCTCTCCCTCTCTCCATATATATATATATGTGTGCATGTGTGTGTGTATTTATATATACATGTATATGTGTATATATGTATTTATATGTGTATATTTATATATTATCGGTATGTGTATATACACATCTGTATCTATCTATCCTATTGGTCTGTTTCTCTGGAGAACCCTGACTGAGACAGACACATAAAGATGGCAGTGTAGCTTAGGGCAGAGACAGTTGCAGGATCATTGAGGGCCTTAAGTGTGTGGTCATTGTGAGTTCTTTTACTGAAGTTGTCAGTCAGTCACAAAGTATTAATTGAGTTCCTGCTCTGTCTACCAAGTGAGTATCTATTGTGCCACAGAAGCTGGTTGGTACAACCTCTATCGACGCAGATCCCTGAGAGGTCAACCCAGAGCCTCAGTGGAAGGCTCTCACTTTTACACCAGAGAAGTTTTACTCCCCTGGGAGAACATTGAAGGCTGGGTGTCCTCCACCAGGGGTTGGGGATCTGACTAGAGAGGGCTTCCAGCTCTTTCCGGCTGATAATGGGGTCAAGAAGGACTTCTGAGAGTCCTCTCACTCAGACTTAATAGAGTCAACGCCATCGAAAGTGACTGCTCGTTTGGTCTAGCTCCTCCTTATACAGATGAGCCCTGGAGAGGAGAAGCCGCTTCTCCAGGCCACACAGCAAGTTGGTGGTGCAGCCAGGCTGATCGTTCAGATGGCCAGACAATAAGTAAGGAAGGAAAGAAAGGAGAAGGAAATAGAGGTCTGAATTCCCCTTGTGGTTTTACTATAGGTCATTTGTTGAGTAATTGTCCCAAAGTTAGGAAACATTCCTATTTTTCCCAGCTGGATCACAAGGAAGGAAAAGAGAAGAGTCTGAAAAGTAAAGTAAAAGAAAATTTAAAAACATATTTATAAGGGCCCTCACTGCTAAATCACAGAGTTGAAGATGATCAGTGTAAGTGAGTTTCATTGGAGAGCTAATTAGCTTTCCTAGGGAATTCTCTAATGGCAAGAAAGCCACAGCACTGTCCAGCCACCTTACCACCTTGACCAAAGAGTATTTGCCCTTGTTAAAATAAAGGCACACTTGGATTGCTGTTCACCAGATCTCCCTGTTTCTCCCCATATTTGCTGAGGAATTTAGTTGTCTGCCATGAGCATACTAAATTGAATTGATCAATGAAAATGCCACATGTGTTCATTTGTTTTAACTTGACTCTGATAGCTCCATCCACTAAACCTACAATGAAGTCGTAACTCTTTGAAAAAATATAAATTAAAAAACATCCTGGCAGTTCAGAGTTCGGGATGAATCAGTAAAGGTAACTCTTTCCTTTGCAGTCAGTATTGCCGCTTTGTGCCCGTGTTTTCCATTTAGGATTTGTTAGTGTAAATCCTCCTCATACATCACTGAAAGCGTTAAGATTTATATGGCAGAATATAGTCTGCATTAGGCCTTTAGGAGAAAGTGGATGACCTAATAGGGTTTTCTACCTTTAATTTGTACTGTTCTTTGTGGGAGGACATTTTAAAATAAACTCTCATATTTGGGAACGTAGTGTTCTGCAAATGGCATATATCATTACCAATATGGGATGTTTTACTGCACTTTCCATGGAGTCCCTGGGCTCCTTACTGAGATGCATCCTCATGGCAAAGCATCTTTTGTGGGCAGGAGAAGGACATTAACTTCTGATCCACTCCTTCCCTGTTTGGAGCACAGCCCAGCTTTGATCAGCTCCTTAAAGAGCCTTCTGTTTACACCCTCTCATAGGTCTGCGGACAGTATTTGCCAAGTACATTGGAATCTTGGCCAACAGGTGCCACTGGGGCGGGGAAGGTATTCATCAGCTCCTTCCTTTGGTAGCTTTCCTTCTAGTTTTCCTCTTTTGAGGTAGTGAAAACTGCTCCAGGCTGCTTCTGTGATCTCTATATTCTCCCCCTTTTATTTCTTTTCTTTTTATATCCTTTTCTCCCTTCTCATATACCAACTGATGGGACAATTGAGTGACTTTCATCCATTCATTCAAGCATTTACTGGGTTCTACTTCATGCAAAGCGCCGTAAAATAGTCTGAGGTTTTAGTTATTCTCTTCTGTCTTGTTCCTTCTTAAATTATAAATGTAATACATATTCATAGTAAAAATGCAAACAGTACAAAAGGATATGAAGTGAAGAGCCCCTTCACGTCCCTAGTCTCACTCCTTAGGCATAATCATCAGTAACAATTTCTTGTGTATCCTTCCAGAACTTTTCTATGCATACAAAAGTGTATGTATGTATACATTGATGCAACCATATACATATAGGTTCATACATACACATATATGCTTTTTCAGGAAACACTGGCTAGAGCTAGAAACAGTTTTGTAAATTCACTTCTACGTATATATATCTTGGCACGCTTTCCACGTCAGTACATGCAGTCCTGCTGATTCCCTTTAAGGCTGCATGGTTAAACGTGACTTTAGGAAAGCCTGAGGTTTTGATGAGTTTTCTATAGAGGGCACTAAAGATGGCCAATTTTTTGAATGTATAAACTCAATTTTCATTCACTGTCCTCAGGTTTCTTTTACCTTTTCTGTATATTGAGGGTGTTACCCAGCTATGCATTCCAGCACTTGAAGGATTCCAACGGCTTGCAGATGCTTCAGGGAAATCAAAATTAGCTTGATCGGTTTCCCTACCTGCACACCATGTATCCACTCTGGCCTTGGACCACTTTCAAGGGAGCTGCCAATCCAGTCTCCAGGGCTTGTCTCAACCTTGATGACAGTTTCTTTCCTCCTTTTCGTAAGAGTTTCTCCTTCAGCTTCAGCCTATATTTTCTGGTCCAGCCTCATTGACTATAAAGTTCTTGCTTATTTGGACATGTTCTGTCCTTACTAGTTTTCATTTGGCCATGTACAATTTGAGCCCTCCCTCAAGGAACTGCTAATTCTAGCACACCCTTATTTGAACACTTATTGTACATCAGACTTGTACGTGGCATTTCCTTTAATCCTCCCAACAAACTCATGAGGGATGTGCAATAATTATTCCCAAATGATAGATGAGGCACAGAAAAGTTAAGGACATTGTCCAAGGTCACACAGCTAGTAGGTGGAAGAGCTGGTATTTGAACCCAGGTTCATCTGACCCTAGAAGCTGTGCTTTTAACCAGCACATGTACTGTCTCCCTAAGTCAGCAAGTACTTCTTGGCTAGCCAGTCATTGCAGAGCAACCCTAGTTTATCTGTGAGCCTGTGCTTCTCTAAGGACAGGCCACAACATCCACTTCCTGAGTATGTGCTGCATGCCAGGCTCGAGAGGGTGGCGCTGAATTCTCACATGCTGGAATAGCATATTCTTGGGAGCTAAACCATGGAGGGGATCTTGGGTGGGAGGAAGCACTTCCTGCTTACAATTCAAGCTGGAAAGGGATTCCCACATTACGAAGCCCCACAGTCCTTCCTGTGTAATACTGTTAGAAGACCTCAGGCAGAATCAGCAGCTATTGGGCATTTTTGTTTAATCTCTTCATGTTCCACCTCAGTTAAAGACACAGGCTTACAACCTCTACTTTGACCAAAACCACCAATCTACAAGAGGGAAGTGGTCTTTAATTTTATTTTCCAGATCAGAGTTCTCCACTTTCCCTACCAATGCTGCCTTCCCTGGGTGTTGCCTCTTGGAATTCAGATTGATCTGAATGAGGTGTCCAAGATAAAGTACATGGTAACTAGGAGATGATTTCTATTCTGGTCTCTCTCTCTCTCTCTCTTTTTTTTTTTTTGTCTCCAGTCCTGATTCTCCAACTGCCTTGCCTTCTTGTTTTGGGGATTCAGAATCTGGACGTCATGGCCCAGTCACTGAATTGGGAATTTCTAAGTCCCTTGGAGTCCAAAAGAAAGACCATTCTAGATGTCAGGTAAATGCCTTTCATTTCTTAACTGTCTGATAGAAATTGAATAGTTGGAAGAGTATTTACTTACTTATTTTCAGGTTTTCAGTCTTATTTACTTACTTATTTTCAGGTTTTCAGTTTTATTTTATTCCAAGCATGGGAAAATAAACCTGAAAATCTGGAAAGGGAAACGTCGAACCAATAGCAGTTGCCCTGGAATTGTGGGACTTTCGCAATAATAAATGTCTAGATGATGTGTTTATTCCAGTCCCAATCCAATTCAATTCAACAAATACTTGTCGAATACCTGCTGTGAAAAAGATAAAGAATGACTAAGACATGGCTCTCACCCTCCAGGAGTTCACAGTCTAACAGGGAAGTCAACATGTACACTGTTCATTCTCATACAAGGAAGATAATAATAAAGGTATATACAGAAGTTTAAACAAGGTGCTGTGGGAGTATTGGAGGAGTGAAAAATTAAATTTAATTAGGGAATCTGGAAATATTATGTTTGAAAGAAGATTTTGAGCTTGGTTTTAAAGGGTTGATGAGACTATTGCAGGAAGACTTCAGGTGTGAAAACCTAGGGGAATGGCGATCGGTCTGGAAATACAACTGGAGAGGTAAGTCTGACCGTTTATGGACTTGCTCTGCAGACAAAAGAAGCCTTGGATTACCACCCTTCCCTAAACAAAGAGGAATCTCTTCTGTAGCATCACAGTCTCTGTGTGCTTCTCAGTGGCCTCTTTGTACAGACGGATGCCTTCCAGTTACATTCGTATTCATTTGATGAAGATTCTCTATATGGGAAATACTTGACTTTATAATACACAACACATGCGATTGATTTAAACAGCTCCAATGTATCAATAATGCATTTAATTTATTTCTCTCCCCAACAGTGTATGTAGCTATATGTACTTTGATTATATTGACTAAGATTACAATCCACGTTGATATAACCTGAGAGTAGTTGTTCATGATCTGGGTGGTATTGCGTTTGAAATTTATCCTACCCTGTCATTGGTTCCACTCACTTTGAATTTATACTAAACCAGTTCTAGCTGTTACGTTAGGTTTCTCTTTTACTAGCTCTATTTATTGTCTTTCTCTGGTATTCCTATAAGAATGTCAGATGAAATTACATCAGATGCTTCTCTCTCTAAGATATGTTAACTTTGTTCCATCCTCTTTCACCATTCAGCTTGTCATCCTATCATGAACAGGAGTTAGCTTTGTTTGGTATGATTTGTGTTTGAAGAATCCATATTGACTACTGTTTATCACTTGGGTTTCCCCTAGGTACTCATAAATGACTGCCTTAATAATTGTCCCCACCGCTTACCAGATATTGAAATTAAATTTATGAGTTTAATTCCCTGAGTTCCCTGGGGATTTTTTTTTTTAAAGAAAAAGGAACAAGGCAGTCTCATGACTCACAGCAACTCTTCCATAATAAAGCGGTGTGATAAAGAAAAACATTTTGCAGGAAAACAAATTTTAGTTTTAGCCTTCCAAATGATTATTATAAAAACTAACGAAATACGATTTTTTGGAAATACTAAAACACATCCTGTATCCTTGAAAACTACTTATTTATTGTGCTCACACATATTTTTAAGGGCCATAACAGATGCCTAGGCAATTGGGAATTTGGTCTTTTTATATTCAAATTGTTGTATGCTTGGAAAATAGCCCAATAATGGCACTTTTTAAAAGGTTATTTTGTAAGTACTGTCCGTCAGACATATGCTAAAGTACTGTTTCAGGTTGCTGGGGCAACCTGCCTGCCACAATTGTGGTTACTATTTATGATTTAATGATAATGCATTGACCTGAAACCCGAGTCTTACCTTCACTGAATGCAGTGCAGGCGCACTGTAGGTAGGCTGTAGGTAGACCATAGCTACCTCTAAATCTCAGTGAATGACTAGCAAGGGATTGATGCACATGTGTTAGCAAACAGTAGGATCCCTTGAAAGGGATGGATGTGTAGAACATTGGACAACACCAAGAGCTCTGGTAGAGCTTAGATTTCTATACTTCCCCAGCTAAGACTCTGTTAACTGAAGCTAGGAATATGTGGAATGACTAGTTTACATCAGTCTTGGTAGAGAAGTAACCAATTTTCTCCGACGAAAGCAGTTTGGACCCAGTAAATGAACAACATGCTGACGCTATAGTCCCTTTTCTTAGTGTTCCTTTGAAAAGTGGTAAGGCACATTTCTTTTCCGAGCCAGTACCAGCCTCTTTCCAATGGCTTGGTCTAGAGGCAAATGATGTTCAAGGGCACTTTTTTTGTGTAATCTTTTTCAATAGGTGTGACAGGTATTCCGAAATTTGTATCACAGTGCCTTATGCTTTGGTGCCTGTTAAAACTATAATGCATAGGTTTTTGTTGTTTTTACTTGTTTGTGTGAATGTTTTCATTTCAAAGACTGCCATCCAGGGCCGTGCAGCAACTGAGTGATGAGAAAATACCCCACTATGCGATCCTGGCGTGCGCTAATATTGAGGGTGAGAGAACATGCTTAAATCGTCTTACCAATTTGACAGGAATGATTTCAAATCTGGCACACTGTGGCCTCACTCCTCGCCAGTGTGCCCCTGGAAGAGCAAGCCCATGGTGAGCTCCTCAGAGTTTGTTAATGGGAGGAAAGCCTTGGGTTTAGGGAGAAAGTATTTGGATAGCATTTTAAGAAGCCCTTCCATTTTTAGTAGAGTAGAAAAATCTACCTCTGAGTCTGCACTACGGTCTTTTCTCTGGATGAGTACAATGACTGTCTCTCTCACATTTTTCTGATATTTATTCTGCAAATCAGCTACATGAGTCCCTGCCACTCTCCTGAATAAGCTTCCAGGCATTACCTACATGTTGTGTTCCTGTGGAGGGGTGGCAGTAATCTCAGCTAAGATAAACCGGAGCTTCTGTGGATAAAGCGTAAAGGCAGTGAAGTGTGTGCTGTAAGATTTAACGCCTCTACAGGTAATTTTTTTTGGAGCGGGGATCTGGCATTTAATCAAATCCAGAGGCATTATGTAAATTTAATCACCTTGTAACACACTAGTAATTTTATTATCTCCTTTTCATTTGACAGTGCTTAGATGCAAGTTGAGCTTGGAATTCCAGAGGTAGAGCATTGCTGATTGGAGGCATATTAAGAGAAAAGTACTGTGGAAATGAGATAAAACCTTTATTCTTGCTATTGACTGTTGTCTTCGTATGTGTACAGGTATCCGACAAAGGGTTTTTAGAATAAAGTGTGCCTGTTTAAAGTTTTCCACCTTTCTTAAAGCCCCCAGTGAATTGCAATGAGACTGTTTTGAATGGACTATGTTAAATCTATTTCTGTCAAATGGAAAACCTTCACACAAATGCGATGTGATTCAAACTCTCCCTAATACGGGGGCCGCCTTTATACTTGTGTAGCCCATTTTGCTTGGCCTCTGCTTACTAGAATCATGTCTAGTGTTAGATTATTTATGCCATAAGGTCTATTTAAAATTGAAGACAGTATTTACATTCGTCAACACCAGTTTTGATAGGTTTTTAAAAGGTGCAATGGGGTCGATGATCTTGGATAGACAAATTATCCATCACCACATCACTGTTCATATTATGAGACTGAGGAAGAAAAAATCTGGTTAAGTTGAATTTCCCAAAAGGCACTTGGGCTTTTTGATCTATGATTCACACTAATGATTGTGTCTAATGAAAGTAATGAAGCTAAATACTTTATCTGTGATTTAAAGAATGAAATTAGAAAGGAGGCAAGAGGGAAGGCATGATAACCTGTTGAACTGACCTTGCTAAGGCAGGAGAAATGGCATTTTGGGTACATTTTCTTTCTTTGACTTCTCTGTTTTACTTTCCCCGTTCTCCTTCATCTCTTAACCTGAAAGAAACTCTTGAGAACATCTCTTCTCCTGAAGACAAAGATTCTATGAGCTCACCCATCCATATATTGGAACATGGAAGCCCCTGGTCAGCCAGGAAGTCTTTCCTTTAATCACCTGATGTCTCTCCTGCTGTATCTTGCAGGCATGAAAGCCAACAACTTGGGCAAATGCCCCTAATTTGGGTTCAGTTTAGATGACCGGGTTTCTCCTACCTAGAGTGCTACTTACTTCAGTGAAAACTCTTCTTCTTTCTAAAAACCCTTACTAGCTCTATGAATCATAACATGTCCTCAGTATGGGAAATCAAAATGGTATAATCTGAGATTAAGATTGAAGTGCCTTACTATCCAGTTTCCCATCAATCTTATTATTTTTTCTCTGTTTATCACTGATGCCTCAGTTTTTTCATCCTAAAATGGCGATAATGATCACTACCTAAATTGTGATTGGTATAAGGAATCAGTGAGACACTGGATGTGAAAGTATCCAGCACTAGGTCTGGCCTAGAGCACATGCTCAGTGAGGGCAGGTTGAATTAGAATGATCTTATGGTTAGGAGGATAAAGAGTTGACTTTTGAAAGATCTTTATATATTAAATACAAGTCCTTTGTCAGATATGTGGTTGGAAAATATTTCCTCCCAGCCTGTGGCTCGTCTTTTCATTCTCTTAACAGTGTCTTTCACAGAGCAAAACTTTAAAATTTTGAAGTCCAGTTTATCATGCTTTTGGCATCATATCTAAGAACTCTTTACCTAACCCAAGGTCATGAAGAGTTTCTTCTATGTTCTTTTTTTCTAAAAGTTTTATAGCTTTATTTTCTACATTTGGATCAATTATCCACCTTGAGTTAATTTTTGTGTAAAGTGTGAAGTTTAGGTCAAGGTTATATTTTTGCATATGGGTGTAAAATTGTTTCAGCACCATTTGTTGAAAATACTTTTTTCCCATTGAATTGCTTTTGCAACTTTGTCAAAAATCAATTGGCCATATTTATGTGAGTCTATTTCTGGACTCTCTGTCTGTTCCATTGATCTATGGCTCCTTCCCTTTGCCAGTACCACACTGTCTTGATTAGTGTGGATTTACCGTAAGTCTAGAAGTCAGATAGTGTTATTCTTTCAATTTATTCTTCTTTTTCAAAATTATTTTAGCTCTTTTAGTTCCTTTGCTTTTCAAATAAATTTTACTTATCTAAAAAAATGTTATGTTGGAATATTGACTGGAATTGCATTAAATTTATAGATCAGTTTGGCATGAATTAACATTTTTACTATGTTGTTTCTTTAAATCCATTAACACAGTATATCTATCTGTATATTTAGATCTTTTAAAAATTTCTTCTATCAGTGTTTTATGGTTTTTAGCATACAGAGTCTTTGCATATTCTGTTAGATTTACACATAAGTATATTTCATTTTGTTCGAGCTACAGTAAATGGTGTGTGTGTGTATATTTTTAAATTTTAGTTTCCAATGGTAACATTGGGAGTATATAGAAATATGATTGATTTATGTATGTTGACCTTATATCCTACCACCTTAGTAAGCTCACTTATTATTTCTAGAAAATTTTTTGGTCAATTCCTTGGGATTTTCTGTCTAGACGGTTATGTTCCCTGCAAATAGAATTTTATTTATTTCCAATATTTATGCTTCTTGTTTATTTTTCTTGCTTTGTTGCATTGGCTAAGACTTCCAGTGTGATGTTGAATTGGTGGCAAGAGACAATGTTTTGCATTGTTCCAGGTCATAAGGAGAAAACATTCAGTCTTTTTACCATGAGGTATGATGTTATCTGTAGATTTTTTGGAGACACTTTATTAGGTTGAGGAACTTTTCTTCTATTCCTATTTGCTGAGAATTTATATTACTAATATATATTGACTTTTTTCCAAATGCTTTTGCTGCATTGATTGATATACAGGCATATCTCATTTTATTGCTCTTTGCTTTACTGTGCTTTGCAGATATTGCATTTTTTTTACAAACTGAAGATTTGTGGCAATCCTGCATTGAGCATGTCTATCAGTGCCGTTTTTCCAACAGCACTTGGGACGCTTGTGTCTCTGTGTCACATTTTGGCAATTTTTGTGATATTTCAATCTTTTTCTTTATTATTATATTTTTTATTGATGATCTGTGATCAGTGATTGATGTTATTATTATAAAAAGATTAGAACTCGCTGAAGGTTCAGATGATGGTTAGTATTTTTTAGCAATAAAGTATTTTTAAATTAAGGTATGTACATTTTTTTAAACATAATGCTATTGCACACTTAATAGACTACAGTATAGTATAAATACCACTTTTATATGCACTGGGAAACCAAACAAGTCATGTGACTTGCTTTACTGTGATATTTGCTTTATTGCAGTGGTCTGGAACCAAACCCACAATATCTCCAAGGTGTGCCTCTAATCATGTAGTTTTTCTTCTTTAGACTGCTAATATGGTGGATTACATTGACTGATTTTTCTGTTATTGAACCAACCTTGTAATTTTGTGATAAACCCCACTTGATTGTGGTGTATTATTTCTTTATATATTGCTAGGTTTGATATGATAATATTTGTTGAGGCTGTCTATGTCTATATTCATGAGGGATATTGGTCTGTAGCTTGCTTTTTTGGAACTGTTTTTGTCTGATTTTGGTATCAGTATTAGGCTTGCCTCATTAAATCAGTTGGGAAACATTTCCTCCTTTTCTATTTTTTGGAAGATTGTATAGAACTGGTGTTATTTCTGCTTTAAATTTTGTATAGAATTTGCTAGTGAAATCATCTGAGCCTGAAGATTTCTTTTTCAGAAGGTTTCAACTACAGATTCAATTTCTTTAATGATAATAGGACTGTTTATTTCATCTTGGGTGAGTTTTGGAAGTTTGTGGTATTTAAGGACTCATTGCTGTTTTGATCTTTACAATAATTCTGTGACATAGGCAAGACGGATAGTCTTAAATCACTGCTCAGAACAGTTCCTGGTACATAGTAGAAGCTTTGTTAATTTTAGTAGGATGAATTTGTTAAATGAACTCCATTTTACAAATGTGGAAACTAAGGTTCAGATTGGTGAAAGCACTTGTTGAAAATTATTTAGCTCATAAGTCACACTGTTAGGACTCAAACCCAAAAATAAAAAATAGCTTTTGAAGAAGAAAGAAAAAACGAGGAGGGAGCTAATTCAGCATCTATTTTGTGCCAGACATTGCTGGATACTTTTATTTAACTTGTCTCATTTAAATTCTGACAGCAATCCTGTGATATAGGTGTTGCTATCTCCATTTTAAAGGCAATGGAAATAAAGCTCTGCATTAGTCAGGGTCCTAACAGGAAATATGGCACACTTCAGTCAGGATAGTTTGAGAAGGGTTTACTAAAGCGACTATTTACAAGACATAGGCAGGGTGTAGGGAAGCCATAAGGGCTAGCGAAATACCCTATGGCTAGTATAGTGGGGCTGTTACTCCACCACTATCACCCAGGCCCAAAGGCATGAAGGAGAGGAGAGGCTAGAAAGAGTGTCTGGAAGGAGAGACCTCTAGAGCAGGTAGCCTTCGGATGAGCAGTGGTATTTGGTCAAGGGACATAGCTAACTCCCCACAGGGTGACTTCAGAGGCAGGAAGCTAGGAGGAAACTACACTCTTCTCCCAATCTTTGATCAATGGCCAGAGTTCCTTTCTGACCAAATCCAACCAGAAGCCAGGGACCAGTCAAACCTGTTGATATAATCCATACCAGTTTCCTGGGGAGGAAAGCAGGACAGAGAGTGAATCCAGAGGACAAAGATGTTAAGTAACTTGTCCAGGGTCACACGGCAACCTGGTAAGAGGCAGATTTAGGATTCAAATTCCAGAGCTCTGGTTCTTGACACTGCGCTTGTCCATCTTCCCCAGGGGACTGACTTTCAGGACCAAAGTGGCAGAAAGGGCCTGTGATTAGTCCCCCAGTGTGTATATTTTCTCATTTTATTTCTCTTTGCCCTGTAATGTAAATACAGATACTTTGGTATTATAAAGCACCATTAGGGTACCAGAGAGAGGTTAGAAAGAGAACGCTAGGAGGTGGAAGGAGTTTTGCCTGAGTGAGGAACCAAGAAAGGCGATGGAAGTTAAGGGAAAGACTCTAAGAACTGGACTATGAGCAGGCCAGAAGCAAGCAAATTAGGCTACAAATATTAAGTGAGTGTTTGCTATGCTAGCTACAGAAGGTGACAGAGGCTAAAATGTTCTAAAAAGAATCAAGGTTGAGCAGAGTTCCCTGTGCTATACAGTAGGTCCTTGTTGGTTATCTATTTTAAATATAGCAATAGATACATATATATGTATAACTGA